TGCAAAATGCGCCTACCCTATACGTTAGGCACCACATATGGCCTGAAAAGCCATAAAAACCCTCTCGTTCTACTTTTTTTAACTTACGCTGACACCATTTTTAAACTCACATATACACACATGTACACAAATGCACACACATACACAAATGTACACAAACGCACACACATGTGCACACACATACATACATACATGCAAACGCACAAACAGACAACGCTATGACATGCGTTTTTTTTGCATAGTTTTGCCCAGTATATAGTTGTCGCTGAGTGGCACTGGTTTTTTTCCGGCAGATGCTTCTACTTGAATGAGTCAAAATATGCATCAAAATTGAGTTCGATATTTGAATTTTCACAGTGTTAAGATATTATATAAAAAATCTTCAGCTCAAAATTGTACCGTACGTGAAAGGAGGGGGGAGGAGGTGGAGGAGGGGCACGTGAAAATTGTTTTCAAATACATTTGCTCAAATACGGCTGTGGGCCATGCTCAGAAAATTTCATTTCTTGATAAGATTTTCTCTGTTATTTGTATTTTTCATACATCAAATAGACGATAAGTTATGCATCTTGAGATCGACGAAGGGTTTGGCAGTAGCTAAGCATGAAGTTTTGGAAACATAGTATGCGAATGAGGGCATTAAAATGGAATCCCAACCACGATTTTTTAAAACGCTCTTGGTTTTACTGTTACTATTATCATCACCATTATCATTATTATTACTACTGTTATTATCGTCATCATTATCATTACTGCCGTCATTATTATTATCATTACGATTATAATTGCTACTATTATCATTATTATTATCGTCATCGTTATTATCATTACTGTTATTATTATCATTATGATTGCTACTCCTATTATTATTATTGCTGTCATTATTATTACCATTATTATTTTTGTCATTGTTGTTATTGTCGTTATTATTATTATCCGTAATCATTATTATTATTCAAAGCAACTGTTAGCGAATTGTTCCTTAGTACTGTTATTATTAGTTTTTTTTTTGAGTCAGTTCATGGATATTAA